CGCATAGTCTACATATAGAATATCTGAAGCCTCACTCACGCAAATCATGGCTATTTATACTCCATTTAGTGCTAAATGTGGCTATATAATTTTCAACTTGTAATAATATTAAATGTGATATTCAGATCTGACAAATAAAACTTGGAAATAGATTGCCACATTTAGCGGAAAATATGACAGTTATTATCTAATTTAATGATAAAATAGTAAATATACTGATTGTTCTATTATCGATACGGGATTTTATATTTTGAAAATACTAAAGACAAAGAGAGAAAGAGAGAAAGGTATAAAGAGATATATCGATATCAGTCCATTAAATGAAGAAATTAATTTTTTCTATATGCAACAAATCTTTTTATCAAAAATTTTTCAGATAATGCTACTTAATTACTTCACAATATACCTTATATATTCTATGTGTAGACTATGTTATGCATGGTGCACTATTGGTACAATCGTAACTCAAAAAAATATTTCAATAATATCGACTATTAACTTTTTTTTTCATATAGCATTGCCCGCATTAGTTTTTCCGGAAAATAAATTTTTTTAGTTACGATTTTGTATTGACAGTGCGACATGTGGATTTTCAACATCAGTATGTGGTAATATTGACCTATGCAATGCTGTAGAAAGAGAGATTGTTGAGACAATTTGAGAGAAAGTTACGCGTTAATGTTCTTTTTGTATCCCGAAGTGTATATTTATACCGTTCTTTGAATCTCGCAAATCACATTCATCGACGGAGAAGAAACACAACAATGATGGAACTTATTATCGATGGCCGTCGATTAATTGTTAATTGCATCCGTAATTCGCTTTTAGTGAATTTGTGGCTAATTTAGATATCTAAAGAATCACATTTAGTCAGCGGATAAATGCGCGTCTGCAATTAAAAATTTCTTAGACGACCAAGATTATATAAAGAACAACTCTATCTCTGAAATATATATGTCGCTCTCAATGTTCGATTCCGATGATGAGGGCTTTTTCTAGACCGCAAGTGAACAAAGCTCGTGCAAGTAACGAATGCACATACATATCCATGATATGCTATAAAGAATGCTAACGTGGGACACAACTAATTTGGGATATATGTGGAAACTAGTTGTACTAATTAATTAACACGTAAAATAATTGTTTCCTCTTTTGTTTGTTTAAATTGTTAATAAAAATATTGACAAGAGCTGAGAAAAAATATGAAAGTCACGCAAACTTGAATCTTGAAACTTACTATTTTCTAAATGTAATATTCCAAATTCGATGGGTTAAGTTGATTAAGTTGCACGTTTTATAATATTTCAATTAAAAAAAAAAAAATGCTTAGTTATATTCAACCTAAAAACTTCATATTTCTTGAAATATGTGAGCTATCGTCGCTCTTTTATCCTTTCTCATTTTAAATGTAATTTTGTTCCCCATATCGCTCGCGTCTAGAACAGACCCTGCATATTATTCGTATATAAATATTGACTCGTAAAAAGCGCTATGTAAACCCGATTGACTCGAAAGAAAGCGGATCTACCAAATCGCATCATTTAAATGAAAGTTAGAATATCTTTATTTCTCATATAAGTTGCGATATATTCAATAATTGATTAAAAAAGATCTTTTGCATTTTTACAAATTTATGCATTCATATAAAGTTATCAAATTATTTTCATTTATAATAGGATCTAGCAAAGCAAATTTGATTGTTATTGTCGTACTAAAACAAATATTAATTTTGTGCTCAAATTTACCGAAATATGTTTCGCACAAATGTAACTATCGCCGAATGCACATTACTAAATGAACGTTAAGTTGTCGGCAAAAATTCGCCTAAACGATGCAGCCTAATCGAGAAAATTACTCTTAATATCGGAAGTGTGAGCAAGTTAATTCTGATCAGATAAGAATAAATCTGCGTACAGATTTTTCTTTCTATCTCACGGCGCTTATTCTGATTGCGAGATCGTTAAAAACATACAAGATTGGATAATGAATTTCTAGATTAGCTTAATCTCGCTGACACGGGTGATAATAAAAGATTTGCACACATATGTAATATATAACAGCGTCGGATCTATGGTCTCACGTTCAATCCTTATTTTTGATAGAAAGTGTGTGGTTACTTTATAATCATAGTATTAAAATTTGCGATAATTGCGTTAACAGCAATAAATGTGAATTTAGCGTGTTTACATTATATGTGTCACATTCAACATAGCTTAAATACGACATCAATGCATTGGGTTTTCTAATATTAATATTTTAAAGTCGCGTTCAACTTTTTTAAATTAATATAATCACAAAGTAATACTTCAATCGTGTAATATAATCTTTACAATAAATCTAATGAAAATAAGTTTAAAAACGATGAACACGAATTCGAAAAAGATTCACAAAAATATTTTACAAAGAAATGTTGATAGATGCATTTAGAAAGAAAGATACACATCTTCTACAATAAATAGTTTGGGATAAAATTAATTAAATAATTTTTTTTACAAATGAGAAATTTACAATAAAAGCAAATTTCTGTTTAAATCACACAAATAAATAAAACTCAGATTTAATATATCCTGGAAGTTTCAAATATATATTTGTTATCAATTTAATCATTTTAATTTATAAATTTATATTCTTTTAAGCTGATCTGTACTTCATACATCCATAAATCCGTCGCTGAGCTTTAATAGGAGTAGCATCGTTCGTATGTGATTGAAGGAAAATTGATCGTTTGTGGAAAGTTTGTGGAAGTTTAAGAAATACATAACCAATTATGCAAAAATATACAAAAATTAAGCAAGCGGCTCTCTCATTCTGATATCCAAAAAACGATAATAAGTGCTATTTACTTTTATCCTTAAATATGATGATAAAAGTTAAATATGAATAAAAGTTACTCTTAATCTTTAATTGCCAAATAATGTATATAATAATATATTTATGATATAAATAATATATCGTGAATATATCCTAAACGTGTTTATGTGTTTGTGGATATTTTAAATAAAATTCAATTTTTTATTAAATTTAGAAGACCCTACACACACACACACACGATTCAGATTGATATATCTGTCTCTAAAACTTATTTTATTATATATAATCTTTTTATATTTAGTAGTACAAAATCTTTTTTTTGTTTTTTTAACTCTTTCAATAAGATTTCCACCGACGATCAAGATTATACATAGATTATTAATATGACCGTTCATTTTTTATAAGAAATGCTTTAGGATAAATACAGTATGAGCGAAATGAGTCGCATAATGAAGATTGAATATCTTTGATGTATTGTCACGATGTTTTACAGAATTCTGTGTAATCGTTGTAACGACGGCGGTGACGATCGCGCACGATCGAGCAACTCGTATCGACATAGTAATTAACACGATTTCTAGGATAGCGTAACGTTTATCGAGCAAGCTACGAGTCACGGTGTTTAAGTATAGCGACCTTTTAGATTTTATATATCGCGTGTGTGAGAATATGCAGAAGAGCGCGTGCGATAGCGAGATGTCGCGTGTAAATGCGTGTGAGCGTGCGCGTCACAGAATTTAGGTTCGGCAAGTTAATAAATCGTATTTTCGAAATAAATCTTTTATACATTTACTTACCTTCTCAACTTCCCTACATTTTAATTTTTTTTTCATAAATAACATAAAAAGAGATCGTTAAATTTTTTTTAAGAATTGCATTAACATGCGAAAGGTTTTTTGTAAATCTATAAAATCTGAAGCATTTTTCTTTATGTTATAAGTATTGCATCAAACAAACAATCTACATTTAATACTAACAATATTATATCGCAATATCATGAAAAATATGTAATTTTATACTATAATATAAATAACTTTCTACCAAGTTTTTTATTTTTAAAATACTATCTTTTTACCAAATTTTTTTTCAATTTATAGTTGATAATTAAAAATAATTTATGTATTATTAAAAATACAGCATTTTGCAGACTCTCGTTTATTATAAGATGCATGTTTTAAAGGCAGTAAATAATTTTATTAAAATTTTATATATATATATATATATAAATTGCATATATATACGATATTGAATTGAATATACAAATATTATAAAGATTTGATGGAATATATGATATATATATAGATATGTATGTGTATATGTGTACATATTTTTTCCCAAATATATAATTGATGCAATTATAAACAAAAAAAAATATTTTTATAAAAATATATATAAATACATTTAAGCAAATTAGAGATTATTTTAATTTAAAATTGTTTTTAAACCGATAGATTAAACCTGTAATAATTTAAACTGATTCAAGAGTAAAATATCATATTATAAATAAAAATATTGATAAGTTTCTATATATGTATTTGCGTGAAAATATATGCACATGAAATTATATGATTACACATACCTGTACATATATATATACCTGATGATGATCGTAACACAATTGCATTTTCGCTGCAACTCGATGAGGAAATAATTTGCGATTCTGGTCGATTCTGCATACAAGAATGGATTGTTTATACGAAGATCACGATATTGATGTATAACAGCGATTGTTTAACGTTGCGACAAAGCCAAATATATCTTGCAATAAACACTCGCGATAACATTTTTCGAACGTTAAATTCACTCAAAATAATACTTTTCGGGGGTTAAATTCACTCGCTATAACACTTTTGCGCACTGAATTTACTTTTAAACAAACGGATGCAAACGATACAAAACGATTTTTAATTATGATTTTGAAATCTGTCGCGACGCGTTTTGTAATTAATCGTGAAACGAAATCCATCGAGGCGCGCACTGCGATTCAAAATATCTTAACTGATCAGTCGCGGACTACAGAATCTATCTAGATGGACTAGCCACATGTCGCATGTACGCATATGAGCAGGCATATTGACCAATCGCTGCGTCTAATATAAAGGATGCCACGTTCTTCGTACTAGATACTAGAGTCCTAGAATCTAGGACTCTACTAGATACTAAATGCGTGATTGGTTGATTTCTGTGCATTATTCGGCAAGTTATCTCGATAAGGAGGATTCGTTTTGATTGCTCTTTCTGAGAATGAGGACATAATACGAAATAAAAATTATTTTATTTATTGGATTTTCTAAAATTTTCTCTTTCGTCAAAGCCTGAATATACATAAAATAAGAAATTTTTTATTTTTTAGAGGGAATAAAAGAGAAAGAGAGAACAAAGAGAATCCTTTTCTCTCTCTTGAGTGAGCAAAGAAAATAAATACGGAAAGTGTAACTATAAAATCAACAGAAATTCTAGAATTCTTAACCTCTATCGTAGCGTTGTCTTTTAATTAAATATAATACATACAATGCAATACAATACGACAGTTTCTTAATTTATATACGTGCAGTATTTTTTTTCATTAACAATATTATAACATGGCTCAAACGTATGATAGCTATTACAACGATTACCATAAAAATAATGAACTACAACTAAATCTAAAATATAAGAAAAAGTACCGAAAACTCAAAAGGATTGTAAAAAATACTGTCTTTGTAAGTCTTAATATAAATGTAATATATATGTATTTTTACCTGCAATTTTGCTTAGAAAGTATATAATATCACACTTGATAAATCTACCAACAGACATAATTTAAATTTTACTACAGGAAAATGCAGCTTTATGTGATCAAGTTGCACATATGCAAGAAAATCTCATGGTTGTTAAAGAAGAAAGACTGTTTCTTCTACGCAAATTGTGTCAACATCAGGGAGAGATGGAATCAAACTCTATGGTAGCACGTTCACAATCAAATAATGTAAATTCACCATCATTTAATCCAGAATGTGCTGCACCAAAAAAAACAGTAAAAAAGAAGACTCCCACAGATGGATCAGGTATTTCTTTGTAATATATTGCCTATTAACTATATAAAAATGTTTGGGAAATCAGTTTAAAATTTTAAGATTTTATTAATCTATATAATAAGAAATATTTATAACGCACTAGCAATATTCAATACAATTTGCATTTTTTTTTTGCAGAGTCAAAAAATAAGGCCAAAAGATATAACAAAACTGCCAGAAGAGTAGTGCAATTGATTCCATTAGATATACATGGAAGGCCAATATTTCCCATAGCTTTAGGAGATCTCACGATATATTCTCTTGGTGAAGTGGTATCAGACAGAATCGCATATCACACAGAAGATCTTATATTTCCAGTAGGCTATTGTAGTACAAGAGTATATGCCAACTTAAGAGATCCAAGGACAAAGAGCTTATATACTTGCAAAATATTAGATGGTGGACCAAAACCTAGGTATAAGAATAAGAAAGTAGTATGAAAAAATAATTATTCTTAGGAAAATACAGATATATAAATGCATATAATTTTATAGATTCGAAATAGTATCTGATAATGACTTGGATCAACCATTAGTTGGATGTAGCCCTGATGAATGTCATTCAAAACTTTTAGCAGCAATTTCTCCAGTGCTTTGTTCGATAGCACCAAAGGGCGCAGATTTCTTTGGGATTTCTCATCCCACCATACAGAACCTAATACAAAGTTCTCCGGGAACGCGCAAATTAGCCATGTACAAACAACAACGTTTTGAAGTATGTATATTATATTATTTTATGGCTTTGTGTTATATTTACACTTAATCACAAGATGAACAAGATCCAAATAAGAAAAAAAAAATATGTTTTCTCAATACATACGTCGTTTCTCACAGTCTCAATAGTTTAAAATTACAGTCAGAACATTTCTATCAAATTTTATTAAGTGAAATATTCACTCTAAATGAATTTGGAAAACATTACAATAGATTTAGAATATCATATTTGAAATCTCTAAATCTAAAATGTTATCAAATATTTATTACATTATTTAAGAATTATATATTGTAGGTAAGCAAAAATCACGTCATTGAACGAACTACAAGTCCAGTAACAGAAATGGAAACTGATCCAGGCCTTGGTTTTGCAGCATTACACAGGCATTATGCTTTAAATTCTTATAGAGTAAAGGAAGAACCTTCAGATCATGATCTACTAGCACTTCAAGACCTTCTTGCATGATTACTAACATTATAGACCTAACATATACACACAATTAAATATAATTCAAAATTAATAAATAAAATTTTTCACATATCTATAAAATATATTGAAACAAAAAGATCGATTGCTATATTATAGCTTACTAGAGAGTTTTTACTTTCGATAGTAATACTTCTTAACAGTTTTTTATGTTTTGGGATATATAATTGGATTACATTTGAGAAATTGCTAATACAAATAGAGAACTTTTCAATAATTCTATATTTATTTGAGCTATAATGATATATAAAATGATCAATTTTTATGACAAATATAATATATATAATCATTAGAGCACTTCCCTAACCATATATACAAATTGGAATATAATGTATTATACATTATTAGCAGTGTTTATCATATGATTATATTTTTGTCTTAATTTTACATGAACCCATTTTTCGGACGAATTATCCTTCAAATAAATGATATGTATGGCACAATAATATTGAATTAGACTCAACAAATTAAATTGATTAAAATAGTTCTATTGACGCTTGTGTATATACAATCGATTGTCCGTATCATGAAGTTAGGATCAAATATTTTTATTACGAAGTTTTCGTTTAATCTTATTCTATGATATATGTGTAGAATAAAAATATTATTGCATGCTTTATCTTTCACTTGTTTGGTCGTTATAATATGGGTATATAACAATACATAGTTACATAGCAAATGCGAATAGAGCAATTAGTTGTTCAATACTCTTTACAAGTATATAGCTAATTTGCAAGCATTCGCAAATCTGACAAGATCATATCACGTCACTGTATGGACAATCGACATTTTAATCTAAAATGTCTATGAATTAAATAACCTTTTTTTTTTTATACAACATTCCTAAGAAAGAATTTAAAATAGTCATGTATAGTGCACAAAACACTATATTATTTAGAATTATTTTAATATTTGAAATAATATTTCAATTATTCTATGTCAAAATTTCTTCGTCCTAAATTTGATATATGTATATATAAATTGTCACATAGCGTATTATTTTTATAGCACATTTATAATATGCTTATAGCGCAGCGTTGATCAGAGATTACAAATCTATATTGAAAAATGACTAGCTATTGCATAAAAAGCTCAAAATATAAATTCTCATAAAAATTGAGAAATATATAATTTCAAATTTGTATATATATTATATATGTCAGCGATATCATTAAATACAAGAAATCACATATGTAAATAAGCTGTGCGTTATTAAATATGCATAAATAAATATTTGTACTGATTGGCCCTGTATTCCAATTAAAATATGATCGAATATTCTTTTCAAATATTGATAAAAAAGAATATAAAATTTATGGTTTTACCTTAAATTTATTCAACGAAAAATTAAATATCTTTTTGTATTTTTTTCTAAGAAATTTGTAAGAGCGATCTAAATAACAAAAGTAATATTATCTCCTGCAATATACTATTAAATAATATATACAATTCTCCTGTAATAGTAAGTAATAGATACAATTATTTTTTGGATATCAATTTATATATAATTATTTTTGCATGAAATTTTTTGTAACAAATTGGTAAATATATGTGCATCTTAACATACAAATGGCATAAGTTAGGCATTTTCTCGTCTTCCTTTTTCACTGTCACCGCCTATTGGCTCGTCCAATGGTTTTGTTAAATAATGTGTTTGCAATTGCGATTACTGGCGAAAATAATTTTAGTTGACAATCACTGGAACAGTTACATCATGTTAATTTTTCAAAATGGATGAAATATTGCATACAAAAAATGCATATATTTTATAATCTGATAATATACCATGCTCCAGTTACAGGTTCCGCTTCATTTCCACTTATAATAAATAGTGGAAATAAAATAGAAAAAACACAGCCACTGAAAATAAAATATTTATACATAAAGAGTTTTAGAGAATTATTGCAGTTTCTTTCGACAAATTAATTGCAAATGTAAGATTTATTTACAATAAACAAAGTGAAGGGAAACTTATTAAGAGATTCTGATACAAGTTGTAATGTATTTGAAATTTGTCAAGATATCAGATTTAAAAAAAAAAACACAAAACTGGTTAAACAAAAAACAAATCTGTCTTTAAATATTAATAGACATTTTGGACATATCTTCTCAAAGATATTATTTCCGTACCTTGTAACATACGAGCTGGGCAGTTGGGTAAGTACCGCTAATGGCATACCAAAGCCTAAAAAGTATGGCCAATTGCCTTCAATAAAAGTCAATCGTTTATGCAATTCCCAACCCATGTTGAACCATTTATATTCAAAGGCATAGAGAGCATATAAAAGGCACATATGAACAAGGGCAAGTATATCCCCTAATAATGGTAACGGAACTTTGGACACCAACATTCCTTGTCCCAAGAACAATGCTTGAACCAATACACTGAAAAGTGTATCAGCTATCAGTCTGCTCACGCTTGACAGAAGCAATGGTCTCCCTTGTCTGTATCTGTAAGCGCTATCTGCTATGTCCTACATAGTTTATAAATACACTATATTTATACTATGTTATATAGTGTTTAATATAATATCCATTTTTATAAACAATAAAATCATTTATATTTTACAAAAAGATTATACCTGAAACCATAAGCTGTTAACTATCTTGCTGAGCAAAAACAGTGGTAACACCCATATTGTGCCAAATATCAAAGATAAAAATGGCTGGATCCATGACCATACAATAAGAGCCATACCAGGAGAATGACCGAATAAAACAGTTAATGAATATTTGACGAATGGTAAAAGTCCATATTCAAATACTGCCGTACTAGCCCAAAACACACCACCATTTAATGCACAGCATTGAAGGGTTCTCCTCATTACCATAGATTTTCTACGATCATATACAGACAAATAAATTCTGCTATTCGAAAATTGTCATATCTACTCTTTGCAAGCATGGAATAAAAATAAAGATACCGTTGCTGATTATTGTGCCTAACGGTATTTTGCATAGCCAAGTCTCTCTTTTTGAGTTCTGCTCTAGTAGAAGAATTCATGAGTAACTTCTCATTGATTTGTTTATCCATGTAAAAGAGTACAACAGCACCTCTCCAACTGTCCACGAATCCTCGACATATTGCATATATTATTCCCTGGAAATACAAAATTTATAATAATATTTCAAATACATATCTATATACAGTGTCATAAGAGACAAAGAGAGATCTATCTATCTATAATAAATCAGTATCTATAAAGATATATAAACAATTATACATTTTGATTGAAAATCAATGTGCAATAACAATTTTGCTAAACATAGTTTTTTAAAATTAAATATAATTTTTATATTAGTTATTAATATACTTTTAACTTTGAACATTAAATATCTTGATAAATAAAATTTTAAACTAAGAAATCTGTTAAAATCAAACAAAGAATTGTATTATTTATTAACTTTAATATTAAATTTGGTTGAAATACTTTAATAATAAGTTTGGTTGAAACACAAAAAAATTGTATTATTTAATAAATTTCAAATAAGATTCTTTAACAGAATTTTACCTTAAGGTCATAACTTACCAAAAGTAATAAAAGTTGAATATTAAAAAGTTATAAAAGATAACAAACAAATGAATTTGTACTAAAAAGGCAGCTGTTCTTATATATAAAAACTCAAAAGCTAAAAAGGATTATTCCTACAATTATACATTTTTTATATCCTAGATATTTTATATATATCCTCTGTATTTAAAATAAAATATATATCTAGACTTTAGAGAAAAAAAGAAGGAAAACATATAAATCATATAGCATAAAGTATAATTAAAATAAAAATCTATAAAATATTAAAATAAAGATCTATATATTTATTGTCAATATAATAAAGTAGTTCATTTCCACAGAATTATCGCATGCATATTTTTTCACATTGACAATTCTGATTCGATTTTCGACAAAATAACATCAAAATCGAAGCATGTATTGACAGGTGATACCGATTGTTTGCAAGGCTGTTTAATAAAGAGTGCAATGATTGAGAACGCACAGAGCTCGCGCGCGATACGGAAATACAGATGAAAGGTCCACGAGGTTAAAGTCTACTCACTGTCACGCTATCCATGATCCACAATGCTTGACTGGATATACCTAGCTCGATTTATTCTCGGAAAACGAACAACAGTACGCTGAACGCGATCATTTTTGGCACGACGAGGAAGAATTACGTGCCACGATTCTGTTGACTACGATGTCGAAAAGCGATGAAACCGACTATAAAAATAAGTTCCTAAAGGATTTTTCGCACTGTTGTGACAAGTACTCGAATGTCAAGCATCCATTATCAAATGAACGACGCAAACAATTCGTATCGTCCAATAACGGGGATCCCGTTGTTCGAAGAGCCATTTCCCCTCCACCCCCACGTCCACGACTGATTTCTGAGACCGAGTCAGCTAAAAGCAAATATGCAAAAGAATCAGCTGATCACAGGTTGCTTGAAATTGTATTAACGTCATATCCTCTCCATCTCGAAGTTCGAGTCGAATCTATTTCGTTTTCGTGCATCATGCCTTTATCTTGCGCATGTGCCAGCAGAATAAACGCTGTATTACTTACAATTTATCAGTTTTCCGATTAAAAAAATGTAAATTAAATATTTCATCGATCACGATGCTTATATCATGATTTTAAATTTAGCCAGAAAGATTAATATGCATCCAATCAAATTCGCTAGAAATATATTATATTGAGCTTTCCAGTGCGCGTATTATTAACCAAAGCTAATATTAGGCACAATCACGCTTCAATATATTGAAATTTCTTATCTTTATTACGTTCATGGAATAAACATAAATTGAGACTGCTGCTTTAAACTATAATGAGGACATATGCAATGACCCTGAAAAGTTTAGCGAGTCTAAAATAATTACGTCCCTGTATGTCATCTAAAGATCATTTGAAATCATACAACTTTTGTCCATAATAATCAAATAAATTAAAGTATATATATAAGTTGGTACAATGTTCGCTTTGTATAAATATATATAAGATTTAAAAATAAAATGTACGAGATTGTGTCAATAATAACTGAAATATCAATAATAACTGAAATTGCATGTTACACACAACCGCACTTATCTTAATTTGTAAACGAGAAAATACAATCTATTTAATTAACCATTATATATCGATGTATTATTTACATACGTCTCGCTTGATTACAGATGATAGACTTTATAATGCCATCCTGTATTATATATAATATATCATTGAAAAATTATCATAATTTGATATGCTAGTTGTATATATGCCCTCAATACACTCTTGATCAGTTATTTTATTCCAACTAAATTAAATTAAAATTTTGTGTATGATTTTATCAATTTTCAATTACTAATAGTATAAAACAAGTAGAGTTGTGCAAAAAACAAAGCTTCCTCTATGAGGAAGCAAAACATCAAAACATTATTAAATATTGTATTAAAAAATATAAAATGTTTACACACACATATAATAATTGAATATTTGCGATTTCATGAGAAATATGCATATGGATAGATTATTATCTCAAATCTTCTTAATGTGTAATATCTTCTTTTATATCGCATCAAAATTAATCTGTAAAATATATCAATAAAAGACTCTTTATCAAATTAAATCAATTCGTGAAATTTAACCATGAGCTCAAACATTCGTCGTCTGAACCGTTCAATCCGTCATATCGCTCGTTTTCAATTAACTCTCTTTTTAAAAGAAAAGGGCTTTTGCGCTGGTCAGTTTTGTCTTGCGAGGACCAATTTAGACCCATCTGTATTCAGACATGGACCGGCCTCTGCGCGAGAATTGACTCTTTTTTCTCTTTTATTAGTACCATGTTTTGCACAATGAAGAGAAAGTTAAAATAGAAAGTTAAAATAGAAATTCTACAAAAGAAAATGAAAATTTTCTCGATTTTACAATAATATATGTATTATGTATACAAAATATATACGTCAAAATCTGTTCTTATAAAAAACTGTTTTTTATATTAATAATGTTTATATTAATAATGTTACTATATGAATTATACATTTTTTTAAGTGTTTCTTTATTATTTTACTTATATTAATACAATTAATACAATTAACACAATTACTTTGAAAATTTATATATTTATAAAAAAATTTGTGGGAAAAATATTACAAAAATTACACAAAATAAATTATAATTCTTAAAATAAAATGTTATTTAATAATAAACTGATTATTTTTTAATAATAAACCTTTAATAATAAACTGAATTTGATCTTTAATAAACTTTGGTGAATATTATATGAATGACTTCAGAAGTTGTCATAAAATAATATAATAAAATATATAATATAAAGACACGTGCTCTTTGAATTCGGGGGGACAGTATTAAAAAATTATTTATATTTATATACGTTCATTCATTATGACGTATTTTCATTAAATTGGAACCTAGTTGTCAATGGCCGCGTTGAGCAGAGAAAGCGCTCAGTTATCGTCTTGTTAACACTCGACGTTGATTCGTTGGTTCTAAAAGTAAGAAACAATCACATTCGATTGCTACTAACAATAAGCGGTATTCTCTGCTGAACGCGGCCAATGTTACCAATCCTTTACGCACGCGCTTACGACGTCCTGACGTGGCAACAGTGCGACCTCGATGTAGCTAGCTAGTTAGTAGCTTGTAGCTTCGACGTTTGCCTCACCTCAACTAGTGTCTCGAAATGACGGATGTACAGTGTTCAAAGAATCCAGAATGTAAAAAGTATGTGCAACACGAATTGACATCGCCACACCGCAGTATCCTGTGATAAATAAAATTGTTCTTTCCTTGTGGAAGCTACGTGCACCGTTCTATTCGTGATAAACTGCAGCTCACATTTTTTGCGCTCGCTTTCATGTTACATCTTCGCTGGTCATCAGAGAATTCTCTCTTTTAGTCGAGCAAGTAAGGAAACGAATTATGTGTGGATTCTCTCTGAATCTTCTCAGGCGAATCGGAGTGCGTACTCCGTAATTGTACTCCGAAACATTTCATAAACGAAAGAAAACATCTCTATTTATTTTATTTGTTATTAGTTTATTTCTCTCGGTGTGTGTTTAGAATATATGTATAACTTTCAATATTAATAATTCAAAACATGATAATCTTGACATGTTATAACAAATTGTTTATAATAATCTTGATAAATCTGTAAAGTATATATGTAAAAGAAAAAATTCTTTGATATAGTTAAATAATAAAAAACAAGTCAATAATATATTTGAATTTCCGTTGACGTATATTATCAAAAGCCGGTAGATATACACTGTTATCTGCTTCCCGACATTGGCGACATGATTTACACACACACACACAGATTTAAGCAATAAGAGTTTTTGTTACAAAATATTTTTTTTACGATGAGGATAGATGATAATGTTTTCTTCAGAGTTATTGTTCATTAGCCGGAAATAATTTTTTATGAATTTTATTTTAGTTTTATATATATTTTCATCATATTTAATTCAATTTAACATTTCTTTCGATTTTATTGTAAGAATTCAACAAAAATTATTTAATATAATTGGAGTCGAAGTTTTTAGATATATGTATATAAATGTACATTATAATAGATTATTATATAAGGTTTCACTTTTTTATGTTATCATTTATTTTATATTAATTTTATCAGATAATAAACTTGTATACACAAGAGGGAGAGAGAGAGAGAGAGAGAGAGAGAAAATGTGAAAAGATATGAAATTTTAAAGTGATATGTGCAATTCTATTTATCTTTTACTAATTTGAGATAATATAATATATCAAAGATCCTGAAATAATATATCATTGTTTAGACTTGATAATAATTACAAATTATTAATTATAAATCACTCATTAATAATTAGAATAGAGAAAAAATAAGTGTAAAATTGTGTAAAATTTAGTTTTTCTTTGTTTCAACATTTTATTTTCAATTAAAGAAAAATTAAACAAAAAAATATTATATGATTTTCTCATGCATATAAGAATTGATACAAAATTTAATAACTTAATATTTCTTTTCTTTATTGTAAAATTTATTCTATATATTTTATGATTGTGATTCCTTTAAATGTGACTCTTTAAACACAATTACAATGAAAGGATTTGTCAGATTATATTACAGCTGATAAAAATGACAAGAATTCGGAAAATTTGCTGCATCGGAGCCGGTTACGTAGGCGGACCCACATGTAGTGTTATCGCGTTGAAATGCCCGGAGATTCAAGTAACCGTCGTCGATAAGAGTAAGGAGAGAATAGCACAGTGGAACTCGCAAAAGTTGCCGATATATGAGCCAGGCTTGGACGAAGTGGTGCACAAATGCCGTGGAAAAAATTTATTCTTTTCTACCGATATCGACACAGCTATTAAGGAGGCCGATCTCATATTCATCTCCGTGAACACGCCAACAAAAACTTTTGGCAACGGCAAAGGAAG